GCTATTTAATTTTTTTTTTACAATTAACCTTAAAAAGAACTGAGAATATAATATATATGTTCACAATATCCCTACCCCATGGTCCCAAAACATACATTTTAAATATATCTAAATTTAATATCAACCAAACCAAGCACTAAAGACATTAATAATGCACTAAATTGAAATACTTTTAAGAAAAAATAGTCCCTTTAACAGATTAGGAATTCAAAATTTTCTACAGTATATAAATGGGAACTAATAGATAAAGCACAGGCAAATAATTATAGATAGATAAAATAAATATAGCATAAAAATCAAACAAAATGGAGAAAATTAAAAATTTGTAAAACAAAAATTGATTAATTAATAAAACCATTTTATATAAAAGAGGCATTAACATTCGAAATGTTCACTAAATGTTTAAAAATAAAGGTTGATTTCATCCTACAATAATACATTTTTATAATTATCGAATGTTACTATTAATTATTGATGATCCCTCTATATTATTTCAAGTTTTCAGGCTAAATCTTTAGTGTTTAGGATTACACTGCATTCTATATAATGAAACAATATTAGAGATGGTTTGGTATTTGACATTAAAAACAAAAATGTGATTAAAAAGGCAATATAACTTTTGGGTTTCCACAATAAGATCTGTAAAAGAATTTGATGACTTTATATTCAGAATTTAGAGTTGTTTTCTTTCTTTGGTATTAATATTCACTAAATAGATATAATTCTCCAAGGATGTTCAAGTGATTATTATAAATACACTTATCGACAAATGGGGTTTTATTGTGGATTTAACTTGGTACACCAGTCATGGGTATAGAGTTATTTAGGGGGCGGAGGAGTTGAAAAGAGCATAATTTAACAATATATTATATTATTTTGAGACTCATATGTATGACTACATGCGAATGCAAAAGGCGGGGGGGGGGTTATTTTAGTCAGGTAGCATTATTGCTTACTCATGTACACCAAAAACACGTCATCTCGCCTAAACAGATGTTTTACGCCAAAACGCTTCAACTTGATTGATTGCCATGTTTTTGGTGTATATTTATATCTTTTCTTGGGCGCCGAATCGAACTACGGCTTTTAAAATGTTCAAAAATCGACGTAAATTGATTTTTTCAACGTTAGTTGGTATACAACGACGAGCACATGAGTGAGTAGACTGTGGGAAAGTTACGACAACTCATTTCCAGGCGCCATTTTGGGTCCCAATTATGACGCCATAAAAGCTATGACGTCATGGCTTCATACAGGTTTACATACCAAAATTTGTTTTTTTCTTGCAGTATTAGACGTTGAGGGATAATATAACGTTTTACCCTAAAAAAAAATGCAAAAGAAACCAATGCAGTTTGGTTCAGTGATAAATATATCAAACAAAATCATACCCAAAATCGGGGAATTTTCTGAGAGCGATATCTCGTAATCAGTGTGTTTTACTATTTACTCGTTGGATTATAAATGATTTCTTTTTAAATTCCTCAAACACAGAGTGGTTATGAAAGCGAAATGTGCCGAAAAATCGAATTTGACAAACGTCAAATTAAAAAAAAGAAGTATTTGTTATATGGTGCCGGGCGTTTCTTTCATAATGGCCACCAAATTTGGTAATATTATTATTATTATTATTATTATTACAGCATATTTATAGCGCGCCCTTTCATAAAACATGTTCAGGGGCACTCTACAAAGTGACAATGTAATCATAAATAAACAACAAGATTATGGACATGTTAACAATTGTATACAGAGTCAGTTAAAAGCCTCATTAAATAAATGTGATTTAAGTTGTTTTTTAAAAGAATATAGAGATGTACAACATCTTAAACTAAATGGTAGATTATCCCATAAAACAGGTGCTTGATAACTAAAAGAGACTAGTTGAACAGTTTTGGGCTTTAAAAATAGTTTATCTGATGTACGTAATGGTGGACCATTATATCGTGGTTATGTACGCGAAATGTGCGGAAATCGAATTTGACAAACATCAATTAAAGAAATGTATTTTCCATGTGGTGCCGGGCATTTCTTTTAAAAGGGCTACCGAATTTGGTAATACATGTATAAAGCAATTTTAACAAAAAACCCCATAAATTTGGTAGACTAAAAGGGCATCTCTTAAGATACGTAAGATATGACTTTTGCAATGTCCTTTATATGGTTTTCGATGTCTGTGAATTTGAAAATAAATTTTGAAAATACAAAATAGCAGCAACACCAATTGGCGGATATTAAATTAATCGTCATTTTTCCTGTTGGATATTAGATAGTGTCTCTTAAGCATGATGTACACTGTAGTTCGATGTACCCTTTAGTTCAGATATAGTCTCCAAACCGTGTTTACACTGACTGTAGTTTGGGTGTAGTTCGTCAAATGAAGATGAATTTTACGATACAAAAAAATGAATATATTGTAAACGCGCTTTAAATATCTGGAGGCGATAGACTTCGTGATAACAAATTCAAGGTACATTATATCATTGGCAATAATAAGATCCAATTTTAGTTTTTAGTTACACACTATTAACCACCAATAGATGTTTTAATGACAATAAATCATAAAATGTATTCAGCTCGACGTAAGACATAAATAGATACAGTTGGTTTAACTTGAATAGAAGTTTTAATTATCTATGCTGCATATATGCATATATCACCTTGATGTTCATATCGTCTTACGTATTTGTCAACATCAAGGTTAGTGCGACCCATTTGTGACAATTTCTAGTTCCCAAATATTAGCGATTTAGCTCCTTTAAAAGCGAATGCAAGTTAAATATGTTTAATCAGAGGCGGATTCAATGGGGGGAGCCCCCCCCCCCCCCCTAATTTTCAACAGTGCCCTTTTTTACGGCTGAAAGTGCCTTTTCTCAGACTCAAATATGTCCGTTCCCAACCCGTTGTAGGGATCCCAAATGACTCGAACCATCGACTCAAACACACCAGTCTGGGAAATAGCTCTTGGAATGGCTACAGATGCAAGGAAATGACGGATAATTTTCTTGGGGACCCCCCCCCCCCCCCTCAGCGGCAAGCCCCGTCTCCACGGTCAATGCCTTCATTTTGCAGCGCCCCCCCCCCCCTTTTCAAAATTCCTAGATCCGCCCCTGGTTTAATAGTAATTTTATCTAGTGTATCTTTTATTTTGATTTTTCTTATAGAATAAGGCTATATAACAATAATGTGCGCTTCTTGTTGTATAATACTAATAATAGTATGTTCAGCTATACTTTTCGTTTAAAAAATGTATGTTTTATGTCCTATATACACTTATTCGCTGAAATCTATGACATCCAACAATATAATAGGTCATATAAATAGATAATAAGTTTGCATGACGTCATATGAAATTCCTGGCTTCACAGTTGTCGCAACTTTATCTATACACGGCGTTGCGTCGACCAACCATGCAATGTGAAGTAGATGTCAATATGGTTATGTGCATAGGCGTACGAGCTGGGGGGGGGGGGGGCTGGGAACCAAATACTGGGAAAATTTGGGCACACAATTGTACTTTGTAAAGGTTGTATAAAAAAATATTGTGTTCTTAATGTGTCCAATTTAACAGCGAATTTATTATTATTATGTAACATATTAAGAACCTAACTACATTTTTGGGGCACCAACCACCACCGCCCCCCAGTCAAAAATTTCCCCGTACGCCTATGGTTATGTGTAAGAATATTCAGTTCAATATATTCACGGTGTATGATTTTATTCATACTTCAATTTTAGTGAGTTAATTCTGCAACGTTTTTAGAAAAAATTGCTATTAATTTGGCCAGTACTATAATAGCAAGTGTATAAATATTTTCTGTTCAGTCTATACACAGTAACATATCTGAGAACCATATTATCATTTCTGCCCAAGGCTCCCTGTGATTTATAGTTAGCAGTGATACAAGGCAATTACCAATTTTCCGTGCTCTTGGCCTGAAGAAATAAAATAATAAAAGTCAAGTTTTTATTATTATGCAAGTGGAAAAATACAATTCTTCATGGTATGATTTGAATAAATACAACTGATTTGAAGTTGGAATTATTATTTGTCTAAGATGACTGGGCATTTACAAATTGAAATACCTACTCTTCATCAAGAAAATACATGAATATTTTTCCCAATTCACCTGGATTTTATTGTAGGTCTTTGTACGTGAAATAGCTTTATTTAACGTCCGCTACCACCGAAGTGGTATTGCAGAAAATTAACAAATTCGGATTCCCTTTTAAAGGAATTAGACTACACTATCGCTGGATTGTATTATATTCAAAATGGCGCCCAGAACACAAAACAAACATTGCAATTCAGGGCGGACTGGTGTCGAGGTTGTATCCTAAGAATGATTTTTTGAATATTTAATCAAACAGAAACACAATTATGCACATGCAGTTATGATATAATATTAAATTAGCTTACCTCAAATACCTCGAAATATACTGTTTGGTCAGTTTGTCCGCCCGCCATATTTCTATTAGTCACACATCCTTCGGCCAATTAAAATGGAGGTATATTTTGTTTTAACCGAAACGAAAAATTTGCGTTATAAATACATTGTATTAAAAAATACCAAAATCACAAACCTGATATTCTTATTTTCTGAACAAACTTTTTTCACAACAATATCACTTTTTTCGATACTAATGCTTAATAATACAGTTAACATTTGCAGTACCACAGGGTTTAATACCGCAAAATTACTTCAATAAATATTTCTTTCTTTGTTTTAAGAGTAATTCATTTTAATTGGTCATTTACAGGTAAGAATAAATTTCCAATTTCGATTAATGAACCAATTAAATTAAATAAAAAGATTAACTCGACTATTTCCACGCCCATTCAAACATTTTTTTAAAACGTAGATATAACACAATTGTTATTGTCTTTGATGTGTCAAGTTTATTGGGGCGATATCAATCAGACACTTCCAAATGCAGACATTGTAATAACCTGTCTCTGTATATTGTCTGAGACAAGATGTGAAAATAAACAAAGAGTAGAATCAGAATAATCTTTTATTATATCTAATTAAATAAATAGTTTATATTTAGATAATAATTGACTAAAACTTTGATCTCTTATATCAGTATACTGTTATAAAATACGTTGTTTTAAAAGAGATATTAAATGCATCGCACGATACAAACATTGCGATTTCTACTTAATGTTTGTAATAATTAATATATCCTTTTAGATAATTAGAAATATTAAAAAATAAATCAAGTGAATTACTCGACATTCAAATTCAGGAAGAGTGGTTTTACATATAGGCTAGTGATAAAGGAACATAATAAATGTTATCTTTAATGTCGACGTAATTAATTATATGGAAAAAAAACACATAAGATTTTATAAATGTACACAAGTTTGTGTTAAGACATTGAAAAAAACACAAACTTGTGTCATTGCAATGCAATACAACACAAACATGTGTTAAATATTTTTAACACAAGTTCTTGTGTTGAGATCCAACACAAGGTTTTTTTCAGTGTAGTAAAACACACGAAAACATTATTTACAACACGGATATCAAATCACAAATGATTAATCGCATATTAACCAAAATAACTAAGTAATACGCACATAAAACAATCAATGCACAGGAGTAGGCACGTTAAAATAGGAAAGAGAGAGAGAGAGAGAGAGAGAGAGAGAGAGAGAGATATTTAACGTCCACTCGACACAAACTAAGTCATTTCCGGACTAACACATGGTTCAATTTTATTTCAATAATTCAATTGCGCGTAGGGGAAACCACACCAGTTGACTCAATGACAGACCTTATGATACAGTGCGCACGTGCTAACCATTCGGTCATGCCCCCCCCCCCCCACGCGTTAAAATAGGCCCTTGATATATAATTTTTAAGTTTGTTAACTGAAACCCGACATTTATCAAAACCAAACACAACTATCTTTATATTCCAAAATATTGAATTGCACACAGCAATAAATAAACGTTAGACAAACTTATCCCAAATACTATCGGGCTTGGCTTAATAAAAGTTGCAGCAGAAAATCCAAAGGGAGTGTTGGCTGCCTTACCAAGTAATCTTGTTTCATCACTAATACTGTCTGAACTGTAATCACTTTGTTGAATAATCACTAAAGACGTTAAAGATGTCACAAAATTATACTTTAATGACATGTTCAGTGCCAGACTTGTAGCGTTACTGGCGTTTTCATCTATAGCAGCTATCCGCAAAAGGTCCTTTATTTTCTGGTAAGCCCAAAGTTTCTCGGTAAATGCATCCTTGTGGTCCCTTACTTTGACTGCAGACGTTCCCAGAGACAGGTCGACTTTACCGTCTTTGGAAATGCCAACAATTGATACTTCCGTAGCTAGCAAAGAGTTTGGGAAATATGTTCTACCTGCGACAATTATTTCGGATCCTTCGTAATACTGGTCATAGTGTCTTCTGGTAGTAGACTGGAGGTCGACATTATTACCGTATCCAATAACCAAATCTTTCAAGACAGGGTCTTTTATTTCTAAGTAGAAGTCTTCAAGTTGCTTAACCGCGTCAACATCTTCATATATTCGCCTTGCAAATCCACCATTTTCCCAGGCCATTGCTTTAAGAAAAGAAATCTCAACATCGAAACCAAAGCCAAGACAAAAAATAGATGCAAGTCCTTTATTTTTGAAATATACATTTTTTCTGATGTTTTTGGGTACAGTCTCTCCAGCGGTAGGATTGCCATCTGTAAGTAAAACAATAGCATTGACTCTGCTGGCTGTTTCCACTTCAGTACTTTTTTCTAGTGAGCTGATTCCTCGAAGCATAGCGTCATTGATGTTAGTGGATCCCTGGGGTTTCACGTATTCCATAACATAGCCCTTCGCCCTGTCAATATGCTGGGCATTTGCCAAGACTGGCGTCTCCATCCATGAATCTACCTGATCGTCGAATACAAGGATATTAAAGAAATCATTGGTGTTAAGTTTGTCTAATATTGCTAGCATGGCATCTCTGGCTTGTGAGATTTTCTTTCCGTGCATTGATCCACTTATATCAATAATGAACAAAATAGTTTTATCCAAGTTCTTAAGTCCTGAAGGAGCAACATAGTGGACAAAATATTCATCTTCGACTATTACCACACCACCGTCTGTATTATGAAGAAGATCGTAAGTTACAACAATTTCACCATCTAATCCAGATGCAGTTTGGTCGGTTACTGATGGTTTATATAATATACTCTTTTTATCTGTCGAGGATGAGAGCACGGCGTTTTCGGTTGAAGCTGTATTTATGACGTTACTGTTGGGTAAACGGTAAGAAAATTTCTTGAACTGTTGCTCTTCCCGATAGGAAGCGGACACAGTCAGGTTAGTGACAACCTGGCCTGGCTGAACCACGATGCGCTGTTGATAGTCTCCTAATCGTCTTTCCAGCAGTTCTTGGTAGGTCAGATAAAATGTCGCATCGGCAAAAGATCCGACATTCACGTCCACTTTGAAAATATCCATTCCTCTTTTGGGGTCTGTGGAGGCATGTCGGACCTGGCCTGCTGATTGGCCCCTGTCTTTCGCATCATCATACTTTTTCTGGGCCTCTTCTTTCGCGAATAACTTCGCTATATACATCGTGTTATTGACAATCATGCTAAAGTTGGCTATGAAAGCCGATTCCGGGATCTGGACGGTGAATGTGGCGTCCAATCCCCTTGCATGTTGGTTCACGACATTACTGGTGATTTCCACAGTAGCAAACCTTGAATATACGTTCGAATTAATATACATATCGGTAATATTAGGTAGTAACTGTGACACTTCATTATCATCCGTTGAGCGCCGTTTCCTTGCGTTACTTGGTTCAAATACAACAAGATCTAAATGTCCACCGACAACACCTGTTAAAAACAGTAGACTGAAAAAATAGATATACTTCTTCAGAGTCATGATGTTTCGGCCCTTCCCAGGCAATATTGACGAATGAGTAATTTTCTATAAATAGAAATGAGTTCATGTTGTAGTTTATTCAATCAGTGGTCTATATGGGGGCGGGGAGGGGTGGACTGTGTCCCTTCGAACAATGTTCAAAATACTAATATCATGCAGTGATTTCATTTCGACCTAACAATGAAAATAATGCGAAATGTTCCTCAATAATTGTTTATCGGTTGGTTGTGACTAAACCTTTAAGGTCAAGGTCAGTGAAATCGTTATCAATGCCAATGGTTGATATGTCGTTCTTTGACTCATTACCAATATTTGTAGTGGATGCATTTGCATCACAACCTTTTAAAGGCAACCCAGCAGCCGTTTGTTTGGTTTCTACAACATGTCATCCACAGGTTTGTGTCATACTCATATAATCAATTATTTATTAAACAGGAAAACTAAAGTCTTGTAAAACAAGACTATCGTTATCTCTCCGGATCTGTCGTCTGCTCTAGCTGCAAGCAATGCACAGCTGTGATAATTCTTATCTACGGCTGCAATTGATACACTATTCGAGGCTTTGAGCAAGTAAAATTAGGTTCAATTGCAAATTTTCAACACATATCATCATCACAGTTTGCATGGAAATAAGTAATTATGTTACAAATACTATAGGGAAGAGTGGTAGGCTACACTGAATGAAATCATAATCTTATTTTACCGAACAGTTTTTCTGCATTTTCCGTTTCGAGTTACATGACATCACGTGGTTCTGGTTCGGCGGCCATTATAAAACGAACAGAGATTGTGTTTAACATCCACTCGACACAAACTAGGTCATTTCGGGACTAACACTTGGTTCAATTTTATTTCAATAGTTCGCTTGCGCGTAGGGGTCTTTAGCAGTGGTAGGAAACCGGAGGACCCCGAGAAAATCCACGATGTTGTACTGGCGACCCTACTTCTTGTCACGTACAACCGGGGAATCGAAACCACACCAATTGACTCCATGACAGACCTTATGATAGGCCTACTGCGCGCACGTGCTAACCATTTGCCCATCCAACCCCCAAGTTTGGTCAAAGGTCACGAGATGTAGACAGGGCTAGCGCTAATCCCAACCCTTACCCTAACCCTGGACCTAGCCCAAACGCTTACTCTAACCCCAACCTACAATCTCGCCAACAATCACGTGCCCTACCTAACCTTATTTACATCTCAACGACCTTGACGAAAATTGAGTTGGCACAGAGTAATATTTTTACTCTCTGGAGTTGGTCTTAACAAATAGATCTAGCCCTATTAATACGGTGGACCAACGATGACACAACAGTACACTCGATCATTCTAGTTGTTCAGATTGCATTCTGTCAAAAAATCTGATACGTGAATTTTTCATTCAGCATTTTTTACTAATGAATGGATAGAATTTCCACCCTTGTCACACCGGCGTTCAGCCTCACGGTTAAGCTTCATTAAAATATGTTACTTTTAGGCGTAGGGCCTATAAGGTGAAATCGTCGCCACCACAGTACATACACATGAACAAACACCCTTGCGGTAACTCTTCGTGTGTGTATTCAACGGCATAAATAATCACCATATCTGAGTTAAGTTGTATTTTGCTAATGTCTATTTATATAGCTTTGCGAACTCCTCAAACGAGAAGTGGTGACATGCGTTATAGAACTGGTGAACATACCCTGCCTCTTGCACGACACTAGCTAGTTGGCCCGATGGTTTCGGCTTAGATTGCTGCAGGGTATATTATTGTAAGGAATCTAAAGCACTAGGGGATAAGGGGGATCAGTGCGCGAGGCATCTTTTGAATGTTGGCCTACCTCAGAAGACTTGGTTTGCGCGCACCCTGTGCTTTGTATTATAAGTGTGATGTTTACCTAATACATTTATACTTTCCATCTCTTAAATAATATTAAAGCGTGTGATTTTCACTTGACATCATTGGTATTGTCCCCCAGCTTCTTTTTTGTACAAAGCAGTAACCGTGAGTTTAAAAAAAAATGTCTGCCTAGCCGTGACCGCGCCCTGCTTCAGTAGGTAACAATAACAGGGGCGGATCCAGGAATTTTCGCAGGAGGGGGTTTGCCAGGTTCCTGAGAAAATGTATCCCCCTCCCCCGGCTTGAAATATTTTGAGAAATACATGGTCTCTATCGTCATTTTGGCGTATATACATACACATTGATCTTTTTAAACAGAGAAATCCAGCAGCCTATTTGACGTTAATTTTTATTATGAATTAATACGATGACATTGTGATTCAACTTTATTGATGCAAAGCATTAATTGTGATATCACATAATTATGTCTATATCATTATCTCGCGCTTTGAGTGCCCATCCTGTCGCACCATCTGACGATAAAGGATAAAGCACAATTATGACACTTTTCTCATATAAAAGGTTGTTTTACAAAACAAATTATGTAGCTGAGCAGGAGGGGGGTGTTTGGACCCCCCAAAACCCCCCCTCTGGATCCGCGCCTGAATAACTGCTTTCCTCTATATTTGCCTCACTTCCCGATTCTTCAAATCTTTCATACTGGTCAACCATAACAAACATCTGTGTTAAAATTGTATTTGGAGTGCGTTTATCCAGTTCTATCACATACATGGATATAAAATTGTTGGACACCAACATCGTCCTTTAAGATCATCGGGGTCAAAAGTCAACCCACCCCATCAGTAGTTTAAATACCAAATTACAACGACAAAATTGCACTCCCGAAACGTGAAAAAAACGTATAAGTATGTGATGGCATTGTAATATTCTTACTTTCCAGCACATTGTATTGTATTTTAGAAATTCTAAAAGTCCAAAAATGACCTATTTGTTTTGAAGATGTTCTTAAATTCGTTTTCCATTTCCACCCATTAACTTTATATTTTAACAGGTCTGTAGTAATGCTGAACTTATGCAGAATATAGCCAGTGAAATGAACTTATCAGAAACAGCTTTTGTAATATCAACAGGAAACCCGGATACATTCACAACAGGTATCTTGCACAATGTTAAAGGAAGACATCGAATTTGGAACCTCAGTTTAGAAAATATACACACTGACAGGTCTGTTGTCCTATTGCAGTAAGCGTTTAAAGGGGAAGATCAACGATTTTCAATAAGGTTTCCATAAATAATAAATATATATTTAGAAATAATCCCTCCTATAACATATGCAAAAAATAATTTGTAAGCGAGAAATTAATTTTTATTAATACCGGAAGTGACGTAGTTGGTTCGACACGCTCACTGGTCACTATAGTAAACATACAAATTTGGAGTAAGTTTAGCGCTGTATTTTGTGATCGTTTCGCCGTTTGGCAGAAAATCTGATGAAAGGTAATCTTTATTAGGATATTAAGAACAAGAACTTACGGTGTTTTGAAGGTATAATATACAACGCGTTTGTGTAAATTAAGTTTCTAAACTGGACACTGTGACATAATTTAAGCCACATGGCTAATTGTTTACATCACGTGATAGCTGGCACGTGACAGATATTAACCGAACACAAATTGGCCACCTATTCGGCTAGCGACCTGTTCGACCGATCCAGCTGGCAACCTGTTCGTTGGCAACCTATTCAGAATAAATTCAACAGTCGCCCAAACTCATCTATTTTATCAACAAATAAAATTCAACGTAACGTCTATCAAATGAAAGTAGAATATATTATCATTTATCCATTCCTTTAGCTCAGAATAGAGATGTAATTTCGCATTATCTTACAAAATTCTGGACATCCAACTAAATATATTCCGAAAGCTTTCGAAAAATTATTAGTAAAAGTTGGCACAATCATATTAAAGGGGTGCGCTCTCATTCTGAATAGGTTGCCAACGAACAGGTTGCCAGCTGGATCGGTCGATTTTAAGCATCTCTAGCCTTGAAATCGTTCAAGATACAAAAATCTTTTGAGGGGCGGCCTTCTGAATATCCCCAACCCTAAACCAGCTATCTTTCTCATTCCGAAATATGTGCCCTTCTACCTCTCACCATTCTACTTTAGCTGTCTATAGTCCGGGTATGTATATCAAATGATCGGGACCTATACACATAGCCGTTGTCTCAAATATTTTAAAAGTTACAATTTCAAACTTTTTTGCAGGAGACTCATTTTCTCTTCGGTGGTTTACTCCATCGACGGAAGTAAATCTGTGTGGACATGCAACATTAGCTTCTGCGGCAGTTTTGTTCCGGAAACTAAGTAAACCATTTATTTTATCTTCTTGGGGACTAATTACACGGTCAGATTAATATCTGAAAGGCTTTAAGCACGGCACTCCGATATCATGTAATTCCCTGTTCTCCGTCCCGTCCATTTCTTGCAAAATGTGCACGTATCTTGTCGGACACCCGCGTGTTATCTTTCGAAATGAAACGAAACTTTAGATTTTCTGACGGCAAAATCCAGGATATTTTATTCAACTGCATATTAATAAAATGATTAAACTAGTAGATGTATTTTACCATTATTTATTATAGGTACCCTATAAGACCGAATAATTTATGAAAAAAAGGGGGGGGGTCAACCCCTAAACCATTGCAAGACAGTTTTTTTTAATAGTTTCTGGTAGTTGGCGTGTAGTACATGCATCTGCGGATGCTTATGTCAACATGGTAAAGGATGACATATTGATTGGGGAGAAACACATATCTTGTGATATTCACATTGCCGTTTCAAAATCCGTGCAAAAGACATTATTTTCTTTCCGACAAACAGGGCGAAAAATTTGTGTATGGTATAATAGTTTGTCTCAAGAAACTTCTGGTACAAGAGTATGTTTCTAAGTCTTGTTTCTTCACGCGTTAAGTGGGTGTGATATAGCATCCAGGGTACGTAGCATTGGCAAAAAATTGTTGTCCCAACAGCTTATTGTAGGAGATCCTGTACTAGCAACAGTATGTGCAATATAGACTGTTTATGGGGCTGACCTTAAAACCACCCCCGACTTAAATTATTTTATTGCACTTTTCCGCGATCTTTTTATTTTATTTTGTGTGTCAACCTGAAATATATCACGAGAGTTATTTCCCTTTACTATGGCTATGGTTTGATTCATTATTGAAACTGGTTGATCAAGACGAAAGCGTCATAGGTGTCGCTTCTCAACAAAATGGTTGCAGACGAAAGCACGTCCATTCCCACGAAATGATTCTGCCTCTATGTCTGTGGGGCGTCGTTTTAAACATGACGACGATATTTTCAATATCCGTTTTCGAGAAAAATAAAGGCACAACCCGCACGATCGTTAAAAACGTGTTGAGGGAGTTTCAAACGTGAGTTTGTCGCAATTTGTGTGCGAGTCGTGCATCAAGAAAAATCCCGATGTCATTGATTTGTTTGCCAATAAAAGAAGACGAATGTTTGCACCCGGAAAATTATCAAGCTGTCAAATTAGCTCTTAAAAAAAAAAATCTGAAAAAAAACCCGACCTACCGACCCTTCTCCTCGATTGTGGGTCGGGTTTGGTGAAACAAAGATATTTTTAAGGTCAGCCTGGCTACTACTATTACGTCATGTCTTCTGTGGTCGCCATCTTATAGTTGGGAATGATCATGCTGTGCTAGAAGCATCTTCCTCTAGTCCCCAAAGGAACTGTGTTCGTGAACTATCATAATATTTCTGGGGCAGTTTACAATAGCTATAAGATGACAACCACAGAAAGACATGGTTTAATAGTCAGTACATCATAAACTGTCCATATTGTGTCATTGTAATGCCAGGTGTTATTTTTATATTGTCGTCGACCTTGTCCGTCCGAACGTCCATCCACAATTTGTTTGTGGACTCTCCACAGGTCACAATTCTTATCCGATTGAAATATAGGTTTATCCCCAAAAGATCTCGATTCCTGTCGATATTGGCATGTGTCGGATCGAAACTTCGTGGATTATGGCCCCTGGTCTGATGTTGATGAAACTTGAAATGCATGTTTATAAAGCAAAGATCTTGGCTCATTTCGATATTTGCACATATCGGATCGTAACTTCCTGAATTATGGCCCCTGATTGTACAAAAAATTGCGTTTTTAGTTTGTGGTCCCACAGAGGTCACAATTTTTATCCGATTAAAACAAACCGTTTGAATATATCACCTTTACGCCCTAATGATTGTCGAGTTCGAATTTCCTGAAAATCGGACCAAAACTGTTTAAATATATAACCGTTACACTTAAGTGAAGGTTGAGTTCAATTTCGTAAAAATCTGACTTAAACTGCCGGACAAAATGGCCGCTCCCTGTACGCAAAATAGTGTAAAAGTACATGTATGTAATACCATGGTTGTGGACACTCTAGAAGTCACAATTTTTATCCGATTTTGATGAAACTTGAAATGAAGATTATAATCCAAAAGTCTTGGTTCCTTTCGATATTTGCGCATATCGGACCATGAATTCCTGCATTATGGCCCCTGATTGTACGAAAAATCACGTTTTTAGCTTGTGGAGCCTCTAGAGGTCGCAATTTTTATCCGATTTTAAAAGGCGTTGAAACTATCACCGTTACACTCTAATGACGGTTGAGTTCGAATTTCGTGAAATTCGGACCAATACTGCCTGACAAAATGGTCTCTTCTTTTACGCAAATAGTGTAAAAGTATGCAATACCAGGGTTGTGGACTCGCTAGTAGTTACAATTTGCATCCGATTTTGAAAATGTATCCTTATATCCCAAATATCTCAGTCCATTTCGATATTCGCGCATTTCAGACCATAAGATCCTGGATTATCCCTGATTGTAGAAAAAGCGCCTTTTTTTAATTTGTTCTCTGACCATCTCTTGCAAAATGTGGTTGTATCTTGCCTGGTCATGTTCCGAAAACCTTAATATAGATTTATAGGGAAAAAAGCAAAAAGTTTAAATATTTTAGTACGTTGATGTACCGCATCATGGCTATATATACATGTATATGACGTCATACTATTTTTAATGGGCTTATTTAACATGTTGGTATCATAAGCATATTACATAAAGGGTCTTAAACCAACCATTTAGGATTTTCTTAAAAATTGATTGAGCGAATGTCGGCCATATTGGATTTTACCAATTTTTACCGCTTTCCTGTTCGCAAAATTTAGTAAACTTTTGGGATGTTATAAAGTACACGAACGTGTATAATATTTTTGACACTGTCATAAGTACTCATAAGCCTTTCCTACACGCGCTGTATTCTTAATCATCCGTCAACATTCCCGGCTTTGCTCTTGAATATTCCTCAAGTCGTGAAGGTTTTGATTGGAAGGGGCCCCTTAAGTGGAATAGCCCAGGGCCTCTATTGATCTAATTCCGGCTCGGTGTCCCAAGCATGAGTTTAGTTTGCTTCATGGTTAATCCATGGCTGACAAATTAGATTTAAATGGACACTGCCACTTTGTAGACTTCACTAGATCCGTAAGAAATAATCTTCGATAGTTGAATGCAGACAGACAGCCTGACAAATCGGCCAATCAATCGTTGTAATACATATGATTTCAATTTGTGAACCGTACACATTGTTAGCGGCTTTGAAGGAACCTTACAAACGCTGTGCAAAAACACAAGGTGATGAAAGTATAATGATTTTACGTAAAAGACTTATTTCCGGTATAGTTGTCATTTTTTTATTTGCAGGTAACACAAACCCCGTGTTAAAATTTGACACACTAAGTGGTATATTACCAGTATGTCGAAATGGCAAGCTGATTTCATTGAACTTCCCACTTAATACATCCATCAGTCAGGCAAGTTGCAGTATCCATTTCAATTAAGAGAAATAAATGTAGAACCCTTCTTGTGGAATGCTATTTTATTTTAAATTTAAGCAGCACACAGACTGAGAACAGACGTTTTGTATAATGTCACAGCTAGTTTATAATGCACGAATCCCGAGTCAAGAAAGACTTTCTATATACATTGTAATGCATTCACAAGTAATTCCTCCTTGTTACTGAATGACAGATCAGTAATTATGGGCCCCAAAGACGAATGCGCCATTTGAGTTGCAGGTGATTTTTGAAAAGCTTATTATGACCATTGTCAAGATATGGTCGATATTGGCTGGGTCTTCTATCATAGACAATCTATTCCACCGTTCTGGTGTATTTGAATAATTTGAATAACGGTAACAGGTAGGATGCCCCAATCCCTATTTGATATTTGAAATTTACTGTTTGGACTTTAAACCCAGCGTGCACGATCTATTTTCTCAGCGCACACGATCGGTTTCCATTATGCATTGAATCAATATTGTCCGTGTGCTCGCTACTTCAATTATTGTCGCTAGTGACAAGTTACCAAATATGAAACAATTTTGATATTCGCCAAAAAATAATTGCTCGTTGCTCTCGCTGGCTGCGCAAAAAAATGCTCACCTGTGCATACGAGGGTTTAGGAGAAATGCATTTGTTAGACGTTAATTTGTTTTTTTCCCTTCTTCAGACGTTAAATGATTATAGAGATCTGTTAAAAGTAAGTATTTTTATTTGACCATCTAATTTGTTTCGTGCCTTTAGAAGCTTGTGAAGCTTTGTTTCATAAGTTCAGTATTTATCCACAAAGTACGTGACCCAAAATAACTATCGGAACGGATATTATATCCATATTTCAAATTTATTCTCAAGGATAACTTTACTCTTAAAGATTCTTAATTATGGCGATGACATTGGATCTTACAACTTTCGGCTTGTGTGTATAAATTCTTGCATGGACGCTTATGTTTTTACTTTAATAGATCTATTTTTGCCGATTCATTATAGGCGATACTTGATGTGACACTGATTCAAGAGATTGAATATTCACCAAACACAAAAAAAATACTGGTTCGACTCAAAAATGAAGTTCAAAAGTTTGTTGTAATTTTGAATATTTATTCTTCTTTAAAGGCACCTTTTGAAACATTGCGTGACAGTTCTTATTTTAAAATCCTTTGGGCGCATGGAATGGGGTTTATTGCTCCGCCGGATCTCTACTTCTCACATTTAGAGACTGACATAGATTTTTTTATTTCCATGGTTACGTGTCCTATGGGAGGTTGAGAATTTTGCCTGACAACGCTTTTCCACCCACATTTCCATTTGTACACCGAACTTTGGTATTTTGTCTAAACGATTAAACACCCTTTCCTTGATTTGGAAAAATCCCGATGGGTTTTCACGACCCATCCTGGGATACAAAGCAGCGTGTGAGAAATACATGCGCTATAGATAGAAACTGCGATAAGACAGAGGTCGTGATGGAATTATTAAAACTCGGTGGGATTGTTCATGGAATGTTTTGATTTTCAAAGTGTTTGGATCTTAAATTGCAGAGTTATCTTTCCATTTGCATTTTTCCTGCAAGCTTGGGACAGAGTATTTGGTGCATTTGTTTTAATTTGTTGAGAATAATTTATGGAAATCAAAGACAACTTTGCGCTCGTATATTTTTTACTTTCTTGTCAACATTTTACACAGAGAGCAGCTGAAGAATCTAGTTTTTAACATTTCATCACTGCCATTAATAGAATCATCGGGAAAAATAAAAGGCGTAATATTGACGTTAAAAGGGACTAAAGAAAATGGCTGTCTAGACCAAAATGGCGAATGTTTTGATTTTATATCCAGATATTTTGCACCATGGGTTGGAATTCCTGAAGACCCTGTAACAGGTGATTTAATTATATTTTTCGGATGTGTTTCTCCCTCCCCTTTCTCTCTCATGGAGACTTCTATATCTCATGCTAATCTTTATCATAATATTTCCTTATAATAAATTATATTACTATCAAACCCGAAGGATTAAAGTCTATGGTGTTGAGAGAAGTTCAATATCCGAGCGAACAATTAATGGAATTCAACCTTCAGCGACGCTCTTTACGCAAGCTAACAATAAATGCAAGATTGTGAGCGACGCTTTGTAAGTAAGCTAATAATAAATGCTATTCGACTTTGCCTTCTTGACTAACGATCTTCACAATAAATGCAATTCAACGTTGTTGAGAAACGTTCTTTACGCGAGCAAACAATAAATGCAATTCAACGTTGCTGAACGACGTTCTTTGCGCGGGCGAACAATAATGCTATTCAGCGATGTGAGCCACGTTCTTTACTCGAGCTAGCAATAAATTGTAGACATGAACTTGGTAGGGTGTCATAGCATTATTCGACACAACATTGGTAACTAGGATGAACGACAGTTCATTTGTCGGTGAAAAAACGATATGAGACTGGTCCTACCAAGCCATGATGGCTGGATCACACACGTTAAGCCTGCTGCTTTGACTAATGCACAGGCGTCCCGCCGATAGCCTTAACTGACTAGACGCTTAACAGACAAAAAGATGTAGACTACACGAGTTCGTTACAAGACATCAATTTCGTGCCAAATAATGAAACTCAAACATAACATAAATGAATGCACCTCGCGCCTAATTATCCTAATGTCAAGATGACTTGCCACTAATGTCAAGATGACTTGCCACTAAACAAAATGACGCGCGCAATGACAAGTGACATAATAATTGCATAAGAATTTGGTAAACATAGTATTCTATCACACGCGAATGCATTACAAGATATCACCTTCTAAATTACCTATATCACTGTTCTTCTTACCGGATCAACAGATACTCATTGTCAGTTTGATGATTTCTTTTTGTTTTCTGCTTTTTGTGTATGAGGAAAAATAAAATTTCATACTCGTCTTTGTTTATGTAAAGTCTCTTTATTTTTTTATGTTTTGACTTCCTATATTGGATATTCGCTCTACTTGTAATCCAATTATTTTACCATGAACGTTCATGTTCCTATTGGTGTAATGCTATAAGTATCTATGGGGTTATTACTTTAAAATAATATACTGCTCTGTTCATTGGGGTCTAGCCTGGACGGCTCGATTTTGGGTTAATTGGGTACCCTGTATCCAAACTGTACAGTGACTTAATATGGTTTGGTACCCATTCATTGTGCCTTCCCCTCCCGTTTCCTTATTATGACACCGTGTTTGAATCCAGGGTACAGGTGACCAATCAAGTAAAAAGATGCCAGACCAATTTCGAGGGTCAGTGTTTACAGCCGGTCGGGCTCAAATAGAACAGGCCCTCATTTCGCTACCATGGAGAGATATTATAATTGGGTTGAGTTCTTAGAGACATTATAAGATTGCTGGTGATTCTCGACAAATAAGTGTTCTAAAACAACGGAGGCCTGTGTTGATTGAAGCGTTTCTGGCATTATACAGAAGTTTTAGCGTCTCCTATATTACATACAGAATTCCATCCCTGAAAATCGGTGACAAATTCAGCGATGGTTTTTTATGACATGTGCTGTTTTTGATAAAATAAAATTAATTCATGGATTTTCTTCATAAAAATGGATAAATATTATCGCAAACATCACAATGGTAGGCAGTGGTATCAATGTTGGTACAAAATGACAAGTTTACTGAAGATATATCAGAGATTTGAGTCAAAGAATTTTCGTTCTAAGCAAGTTTCAGCGACGGCCAAATTCACCAATGCAAGTATTAGTGTTTGCTCCCAATGCAAACACTGAGATTTTATTAAACATACATCATGCAAGAGCTGAATCTGCCAAGTGCAGGTCTTTCCTTAGGCCTACAATGTTATCTAAATTATTAAACATGCATTATGCAAGAGCTAAATCTGCCTATTGCAGGTCTTTCTTTAGGCCTGAAATGTTTTCTAAAGTATTAATTAGACATTAATTAACTGATCCAGGCCTTAATCAACTCCCGATGGCATCAGATTTCTCCGATATAAAATAGATTAGAATGGTTCAGCGATACTTTGATTTAATCAAATATGGAGGCTCGAGAATTAGCTTCGATCAACCAGCACGGTGGTTGAAATTATTGCACACGTCTGTCAAACCTTCAAAGGCTAATATCTTCGCTTGCAATAGAGTAATTTGAATGAAATTTTCAAATTATTCATTTTACATCATCTTCTTTCGAACTGTTATAGCAATAATGGCTAGTTCTTTATCTAAATCTTACATAATGTATCTTTAATTAGACATTAATTAACTTATCCAGACCATAATCAACTCTAGATGTCATCGCTAGCCTGTTATATACTGGATTAGAACCCGGTCTGCTGCTGCTGATTAAATAAAAAAATTGATAATCGAGACTATGTTTTTTTTTATCGTACCGACTTTAATAATCATGATCGAGGCTATGCCCAAAATTCAATCGCTAAATTCTCGGTTCCGGGTAGATCAATTTGACTGAAATTTTCAGCAAATTCCCTTTACATTATCTACATTTTAACTAATATAGCGAGAACTCTCAGTTCTGTATCTAATCTCCAATAATGTATCTCTAAGAGGTCACTCCCGTTAAGCGGTCAGTCATGACAATTCCCTTGAGTGACTGCTTAATACATTTTCTACTGTGTATAGAACAACACAGGTTTCGGGGGTCTAACTATTTAAAAAAAACCCACAAAGTAAAGTCAGAATAGAAGTGACCTTAACTAGAATAGTCTTACAGTCCCAGCTGTCACATATGGTTTGTTTGGTTTCGCGACGTAGGATTGTGTCCCCCAGGGTGGGGTGTCATATTGGTATTTAGAATTTAACATGATATTTTCATTTCTAGGTTCTGCTCACACTGTTTTAGCTAGTTATTGGTCAAAACAACTAGAGAAAAATGATCTTTATGGTAAGACATTAATTTACATGTATGTTAATTTACGATAACCATTTATAGATAAGTATGTTTAATACATTTCTATTCACGATGTAATGGAACATTTTTAATTCTGTTAAACGGATCCACATTTATCTTGACGATTGATCAAAGCGGCTACATTGAAGATACCAACATTTCTAACCCGAATATCGCATCAAAAACCAAAATACATAATTAAGCTGCTTAAAATACCAGAATAGAAAATATATATTAAAGTAAAGACATAGTCAATTTGGAAAATATAGCATTATGTTTACTTTTTGAAAAACAAAACAAAAAACCCCATCCTTCTCTTGATTTTACGCTTACAATTTGAAATGCCACTTCTGAAATAATTCTGTGTTTTTTAAAGCTCAACAGTGTTCTACCAGGGGCGGAGAAATGCGAATTGTTGTGAAAGATGATCGAGTAGAAATGTCCGGCCAAGCTGCTATTACGTTAGAGGGACGTTTTAATCTGTGATATTAATTATGTGATCTTCGGGCCCACATTAAACATTGTAGAATAAAAGGTTTCAGAATAAGATTTTTCACTGGCAGATTATGAGGCCGGGTGTGTTTTTGTAATCAGAGACATTGAATAATTTCGAAGACGTAAAGGTAAAACAATCCAACATTTCATTCCGATGATTATACTACCATGTGACCAATTACTGATTATCCAACAGTTTTGAGGCCAGCAATTAGTCCCCATAGTGCACTCACCTTCTTGTTCATCTGTTTGGGTCAAAGTTCTGCGTAAAAGCCTACGATCGACATGCAATTTGACATTCGATTATTGATATGACGTCACAACCGATGACTGTTCTGAGTAAACAGTCTGGTCCCGGTTCCTAGAGAATTCTTAAAGTAAGCAAAAAGTCATGTTTCACCTTTTCTTACGTAAGAAACTTTATAAAATACCGTCTCTAGAAAATTCCCAAGACAATTCTTACGTAAACACAAGTCAAGAATGAGTCAAAGCACATTGTGACTGGTAAATTGAGACTACGATGCTCTCTAACGCCATAAAAACAATTTTGGTATGCAAATTACGTCATAACTTGGTCGGCTCCATAGAGTTATAAATAGATCAATGACATTAACTTCCCGGCAAATGGTCGATTTAGATGCATTTGACATGTCCCCTATACACATATAAAATGTGTCACAAGCTAAAAAAATCTCAAGCACATGCAAACAGACGGAATAATTGTGAGAGCGCCTGATTGTGTTTGTGTTGTTTACTAATTGGCAAATAAATAAAATGGTTTCAAGGTAGAAGCGAAATTTTCTGTATATAATTATATAGCATTCTTCTCGAGAATATGTTTTAAAGGATTTTTTCTGTCTTTTAACTGTCTCTTTAGTATCAAAAGATGTGTAGGAAATGCCGTCGAATATCTCTACGGTCAGCCATCTTGTTTGAAGAAGACACAGACTTTAGGTTGGTAAGAGCGTGCTTGTGCTTACCGTGAAATCTACTTACAATGTAAGCACAAGAATGTTCTTAAGAATTTTCTAGGAACACAAAATAAGCACAGGCGCAGCACAGGCGCTTGAAGGGATTAAAATAAAACTTCTTACTACTGCTTGACTATTATATTATAGTATATAAAAGGTATTTCAGCCGCCATCTTTGTTTTCACATCTTCAAGACATTTTGTCTGCTATCATCTCACAATACTCACTAGTTCTAACACTTCCCGTCGTTTTTATTGCCAACGAGACCTTATTTGAACATTATTCGGCTTCCGGTGTAATTTAATTGGTCATTTTACAGCGTTATTAATTACAAATCAAACGTGAAGCGCTATCACTTGGGGGGGGGGGGGGGCGAATGGTTAGCACGTGCGTGCTGTATCATAAGGCCTGTCATTGAGTCAACTGGCGTGGTTTCGAATCCCCGGTTGTACGTGACAAGGAGTAGGGTTGCCTGTCCAACCTCGTGGGTTTTCTCCGGGTCCTCCGGTTTCCTCCCACTGCTAAAGACCCCTACGCGCAAGCGAATTATTGAAATAAAATTATACCATATGTTAGTCCCGAAATGACCTAGTTTGTGTCGAGTGGACGTTAAACCCCATTTCTCTCTCTCTCTCTCTCGCTATCACTTGGCGACAAGCAACTTCGAGGGACCGGAAATAACACGAAATCAGGTCAATGACGTCTCGTTGGGGAAGGCCTTATTTTTGATTGGTCAAGGCGTGTTACTAAAAATAAAATTGACTGTCACAGCTGACCGCGAATTATGAATGTCAGAATGACAGCTGAATATTGTCATTGGTATGTAACACGCTTAGGATAATTTATTTTACGTAAATTAACTAATTTAAATGGAATCTTCTAGCTGCTATACCAGTGCATGCAGTCGCAGCAACTTTTTTGTGACACCTAATACGTTTGTACGTTTCGTGCACAGGAATACTCTTGCCACTGCTAGTACCTGCCTGGCCCGTTACAACAATATTGTGGTCCGTTTTAATAATTTCAAAAGCCTGGCTTTGCTCTGGAGTTAATACCAGGATCATTTTTTCATTTTCACCTGACAATTAACGCACGTGGGTTTGTTTTGATGCAGTCTAGATCACCCAGTCCCTACGCAAATCTCGTATAATGGATATGTTAATAAAGGAAATGACTGGATGATCTAGACTACTAATAAAACAAAAGGGAATTCCTTTGACCTGATTTCGTGTTATTTCCGGTCACTCGAAGTTGCTTGTCGCCAAGTGATAGCGCTTCAAGTTGATTTGTAATTAATAACGCTGTGAAATGACCAATTTAATTACATCGGAAGCTATGACCACAGTGTCATTTAATCTTGGAAATTTGTAGTGCCTGATTATGGAACATGCAAGTTTTATTCACCTAAGGTTACTTTAAACGTGTTCCAAAGAGCGTGTTTGAAATGAAGTTTAAATGTGCACTCGACATAAACAAGTCATTTCAGGACTAAAGGTACAGTTGTATTGCAATAATTCGTTTGTGTTGGGGTCCTTGGAAATGGTCGGAAACCGAGGGACCCGGAGAAAACCCACGAGGTTAGGCAGACTACTTAACTTCTTGTTATGTACAAGCTTGGTATCGAAACCACGCCACTTGAATTATGACCAGAACTTATGATCTAAAGAACATGCCTTAGAGCACTCGACCCCCCCCCCACCCCATTCAAAAAAAGCCCCATCCAAATGTATACTGCGTTATGAATAATATCAATTTCTTTCGACTAGTTTAATAAATTACCTTCTATCTAAACAGATTTACATAAAATATATATCCAATATTTACATCAACAATTAATATTTACAAATCCATGGTGGTAACCATCGTATCATAATTATTGCATGCTTGTCATGGTGCCATGACCTCTGTGAATTCAACCACCTGCGCACTGAACCTAAAATTGCTTAGGACTATCCGGGTTTTGAACGATATATACGATTTGCACTTTTTCGCTGGCGGATTATAAGCACCACTACTAAAGATTTGCTTGAAAAGAGCAAAATAGAAAAGATATTGGCTGTTGTTACCGGTAAATCAAAGAACATTAAGTTGACTGTGAAGTCTAGCTAAACAGAAGCGCTTTGAGAATGGTGGGTACGACAGTGACCCTACTATCAATTATTAACAGATATACAAATAATGATAATTGTTTTTTTCTATAACAATGACGATAAACTCGAATAAGAAGATGAAAATATGTCTGAGGTAGAGTTTGAGTTCTCGGATACAGGTGATGCTGGTGCTGTTTGAAATGATAGGTTATTATCGATAGAGGATGCTGGTAGTAGCGTAGTAATAGATGGTGTTAAATGATCCGACTCCTCCACAGCTGTGCTCTGTAATGGTTTAATGTTTTCTGTTAGTGTGTCTTTATTAGTATTATAACTTATATTATAATATGGCATATTATAATTAACTTCACTAGCATTCTGTTGGTACGAATGATACAAGTCTGTATTGTACACTTGACTAGGATATTTATCAAAAGTTGGCAACTCTTGATAGGTATTCGTATTATAAAACTGAAAACTGTCGGCTGTGGGTAGTTGGTATGTTGGTAAACTGTATGGACGATAGGAGGAATACGCTGGTATATTTTGCTGTCCATTACTGGATTGGTCTGTTTCAGCCATTCTGTCTTCCAACCGGCTGCTGGAATAATGCGGTTCGTAAACATTGTCCCTGTGACTAACTAGTGGTGCGTCAATCTTAGTCTCCATTCCAGCATCTTCCGAAGTCTTGGCTACATCCGCAGATCCTTGAACTGTTTTCTCCATTTTTTCAGTTCCAATTTTTTCTTGTCGTCTAGTTTTTGCTCGTCTGTTCTTAAACCAAATCTGTTCAAAAAGATAATATGTAAATAATATATTATATGAAAATCCATTTGGATAAATGTCTGAATCAGTTGCCGGTTTGTCCAAAATCTATTTTAAGGATATATTGGTATCACATAAAATAATGCTGGCCAAACTTGGACACAAAATCATGTCACACATATCAAGTTTGGAATTTTTTATATTTGTGTTTGAATAAAGGTTAAACAGTTTAAGACCATACACAATCAAAATTAGTTTTAATCAAATCGATCAATTCTAACTTACGTTATGTCCATTTAAATTTTACATTTACATGTGTCTTACATAAATAAAGTAATAATAATTCCGACAGTCCATTCTTCATGAAGTTTTTAAAAGAATATCCCTATACATATAAATATATACGCCAAAACAAAAATAAAACAAGTAGGTACTTACCGATATATTTTTATCTGTTAAATTTAGAACAGATGATAATTGGACTATTAATTCTCTGTAGGGTGTTGGCGTTTGTCTATAAATCTCTTCTAGTTTTTCCACCTGTTTACTTGTAAAATGAGTCCTGTGACGTTTTCGAACTCCGCCATCCTTACGACTGCCACAAAAAGATGTGCCCATATTGAGCATGCCTGTGTTATATGGTGTATATTCTTGATATTTCATCTTACAATAAACAGCTATCGCCAAATAACATTAAAAACCAAATACAAGTTGTGGAACTGAGGATTGTTGTTAATGAATGTCAAATTTTGTCGTCTGTCGATTTTATACATGTTATCGCTTAACGGTCTTCATTTATGTTCACTACGGCCCCAAACGAACAATCATTAATTAATACTTAATTAATTGTCGGTTTATTTACCTTTTAGCTGTTAATGTTTTTGTTAGCCAACACGAACTCACTTCTCATCATGAATGGCGTTTTGGCTGATGATAGATAATAGACAATTAAAATACATATTAATTAGATAATTAACAGCGGGGCAAACAAATACACTGGTTTCCAACGACTAGTTCCAATGATTAGATTGGTTAAATACTGTTCATCGAGAACAGAAATGGACGGAATGGGGTCCATTCTTGTTATACCGACATAAAGATTAATTCGTAATAATAAAATTTGGCTATCGCGGATTAATAAGAATTAACTGACCCGGACTTAAGACATTAATCCAGGTAATCGGATTAGTTAGAGCGATAACTGGATTACATGCTTAAAATAACCA